AAACTTCGTTCATTATAATATATAAATGCAATACGCAATACTACGTAGTAGTTTTCCTAGAGCTCTGTTCCTAAGACGATAGCACTTTTCTTATTTCCCTTCTTTTACCATTTTCAACCTTGTACACAGTTTTGCCAGTAGTCGCATAAAAAGGAAAAAGTGCAAAAGTGCAAAAATGAGTGAACGGATAATTTTTGAAATATTTCTTCGTCTAAACTGCTACTACTACTACTACTACTACTGCTATAATATTGCCCGTAATGGTGTACTTGTTGTTGGTTGGATTTGTCGCACACGTAAGAAGTTTATGTTTTTTGATTTTTTATTTTTATGTTTTTGTGCATACTTCGGATTGAAAGAAATTTTAATATGTTGTTTATGTTAAGCGCGCCGAACAGCTAAAGGTGAATGGAGGTGCGATGTTAGCAAAAAAGGGCAGAAACACACATAGTATACAAATTTTACTACATCTGTTTAACACATAGTTAAAAAGAAAACTTTAAGTGCATGTAAATATTTGCATATACGTTTACATTTGCACATCCATTTACATACCTATATATATATATACGTTTGTGTGTGCATGCATTACAAGCATTAAATATCGAAACGGTAAGCACGCAAATAATATTATACTCACCTACACAGCTATCAAACTACCTGTGTACATACGCGTACGTACACGGAGGTACGTTGTGCAAGGATTAGCTTACAGTTGTGCATACCATACCCGCTTATACGTATGTATAAGCATGCATTTACATGTTCATTTGGATATGCGAACTTATATGTACGCACATATATATATATATATATATATATACATATAGTATACACACTCATATATATATATATATAACGCCGTGTGTTTACGCATACGGTCTCGTTAGTAATTTTCATGTAGATTCTCTTTTAAAAATGTAAAGGTTAAAAGTTTCTTTTAAAACAAGCCACGCAGGTTAGGTAGGTATGTTGTAAGCAACTTACATATGCACATACATGCAAGCACATGATGTTTTCTTTTTACCCTACGTAGAGCAACACTTATGTGTTGTGTGTGCGTATAATTAATGCAAATATTTTTTTTTTAATGCATTATTATATATATTTTATAAAACTACGAAAAATACTCGTTTGGTTTTCTTTTATGTTGGTTTTCATTATGAACTAAATGGAAATATAATCCTCTTAAACAGAGGTGCAAGGGATAAGTAGGCACAGTACATTTCGCTTAGCCGAAGCTACGCTTATCATTTCAAAATCGAAATGAAAATAGGCGAGCACCTCCCCAGACAACTTTTCCAATCTCGCTTTACGTCATTTTCCATGCAGAGCACGCTTAAGATTGACAGAATGTTCTCCTCGTTTCGTTTTACTTCGTTTCGATTCAACTGGTTGCCGCATAATTGACAAATGACAGCATGAAAAATATCCTTGTGGTCCAAAACGACGCCAATTTCCTTACAAGAGTAAGGAGTATTCTAGGATCTCTGTGGCAAAGCGTTGCAATATCGAGCTGTGTGGACAATAAATGATCGTTCGAGCAGAGAGCTCTTGAAAACTGTTATCGTATAGAAAAGTCAGGCGATTGACATTGAAAGGTTTTTTCAATCTTGACAGGGGTTTTCAAAGGGTATGAACAAAAGAAGAAATGTGATCTTCCATTTCGACATTACAACTAAAATATGTAAGGAGCTCGACAATAAGTTCAAGTCTACCCAAGTCATAAGACAACGTCAATACGATAGCAGGCATGAGACATGAGAAGAGAAGGTGCAATAGTATGTTGGACTTGAAAAGAGGAGGCAAATGCGAGTTTAGATTGTCATAACGTATTTTCGCAGAAATATTGGCAATGTGTAGGCCGATCGCAAGTTTGAAATAAAAGATTACTCAAAGACACAAAGTCAATGGAAATCTCTCTTAATTTAAGACACAAGCTGAAGGAACCGCCTTGAGGAGAGTGAGAAGGTATAGTCTTAGTCTTAATTTGAATCTCCTGAAGAATTCCTTATGATAATTACCGCTCCGCGTCGCATTTCATTTGCAAGTACTGTGTTAGGTTTTTTTGAATTATCGCTGGCGTATTTTTCCAAGAAATACCTCGTACCCCTGAATCGCATAGTTTTTACTTTTATATTTTTAATTAATCAAAACTTTTTACTTGATAGTAAGTAAATAAGAAAAGTTTAATTTTGCTATTAAAAATATAAAAAGACATTAATTTTCAAAAGCTTCAACTATTTAAATGAAAGGGTAAATGCACGAATGGCTCATTAAATCCGTCAACTTATCAAAGCATTTTTTAAAGAGAGAAAGCCGCTTTATTATCAATCATTAAAGCGAGACACACATACGTTTATTTGACCGCAAGTTTTGGGACTTCTGGCGTCGAGACTATGTGTCTGCTTGAAGTTTTTTTGCTTCGGAATTTTGATGCCTTCGCAATGGGCTAAAGGGTTTCTAACATCTCGACTAGACTGCAGATGCCTTTGAAAAGCTTTCAGATTCATTTAAAAGCACCTTCCAATGTGCGGTTAAGAGCGTTTCAAAGCAAGCTAGTATCTAGGTCAAGAAAAGAAGTGTTTGATTTATGAATTACGAGTTTGGGCCGTTTCCTGACACGGAAAGTGTGCATCGCGATTCTGGCCTTTGCGACAAATGCAGTAAGAGCAACACGTGTGAGCATGAAATCTTTGAGAAAAAAAAAACATTTAGACGTGGAAGGGGGTGTGCTTTATTGTTTTTTTTTTTTTTAAATTAATTTACGATATTTGAGAGAACTTGGATTCCTAAAATGTAAATAGCCAGCTACTCATAGATTTGTACTTATGTTCTTATGTATATATATATATAGGGGTCTTTGTATGAATGTGTAATCTATTTACTCTATGAAGTCTTCGGTGTGGTTAATCTGGACACCATAGTTGCTTAATAAACTTCAAATAATCTTCGTAATGTATCTATACATATATACACATTTATATACACTTAAATTTTCACTACGCAAGAGTCAAATATGATGTGAGTATTGTGAGTAAAATAGTTTTGGAATGTTGTTTAAAAAAAAAAATGTACGAAGACATGTCTATCTATGCTAGATTAAATGTGAGAAATTGTATTTTTCACTTCAATGTTGTTTGTACTAAAAAGAGAACCTTTATCTTCGAAAGGCTTATACTATAAGGCTGTGGAGTGGCGCAATAAATCTTTGAAAAAAAGTGATAAAAATAAAAGTGTTCGCTATACACTTTTATTGGTCTTCTGGGAAATAAAGAAAAGAGACTATAAATATAAAAAATCCCCTACATTCTGGCATTTTCTAAACGCCAATAACAACCATGCGTACGTACATCATGTACTCTTAAATCTATTTTTTTTTTTTGTTATTCTTATAACACTTGGTGTGCTACACGATGTTTGCATAAGAAGCGGTCAACTTTTGCTGAAATTTATATTTAATCGAAATCGTGTTAACTGTGTTGTTGTTTGTTGTCTTTTAGTAAGAACTTTATTTTTGATTTTTAATTAACTTATGTTTTTAAGATCTAGTGCAACAATGTTTGAACCATTTGTTGTCTGAGTCCAGAAGAATTAAAGCAACATCCTTTGAGAGAAGTGTTCGCGATCAGCGACTTAAACTCACTACTGCTATCAGCCAGCAATATGAGATCGCGTAATGAAGATAAGTTACTTTAAACATTTTATTGATAAAACTCTGCGAGTAATCGATAAAGGATAAAGGATTCATATATATATATATTTAGAATAATTGCAGCCACACAATGTAAGCTTTTTTCCTTTATGCAATTTAATGTGCTCGACTGGATATGGTTAGAAAGAATGTTTCCTACGCATAATTACGATGTAATTGGAAAAACGTTTTTGATGTTCGGTGTTTATGGAGCGACTAAAATCTGATTTCTCTTTCATTTTTATTAGTTTTCTACTCATCACTTTCGAGTAAGTCAAGTGCTTTCATCTAAAACGCTATTAAGAAAATTTGGTCAACTGGGCTTGGATAATAAATATGATGATAGAAATGTACGATGAGTTTGCAACTACCCCTGCATGTTGTAGTTTGCAATTAATGTCATAAAAACTCATAACGAAATGAATTTATTCTCGTCAAAGTGTCGGTCATAAAATGGGTCGTAATTTTGATTTTTAAGTTTTATTACACTACGAAGATAGATAGAAGAACAAAAATGTAAAATAAAATTACAACTGTGCTCGAAGCGATTGTATGGGAGAATACTCGATAAAACTTTTGCTGAACGTAAATATATTTTCACTTCAATTACGACGATATGCAATACGTATTGATGTCTTGCCATTCAAAAAGCATAACAACAGCGTAACAATAATTTTCCTTTTCTAAAAGATCAACAGACCAGAAAGACGCATCCAAAGTTCTTGGGCAGCGTGAAAGAAGAAATTGCTTGAGATATCCGTTACCAATATTAAAGACATTAAAACTTTGCCTTAAGAAATAAAATCATTTCTTCCTTTCCTTTCCCTCCCACCACTGCCGCGAGGCTAAGCTTGTAAGCGGTTCATGAATCTGCCGATAAAAAACTCAAGGTTTTTTCTTTTCGAAAATGACAAAAAGTTTTGCTTGTGACATTAGGTTGTCCTTTATTAAGGTCCTTAAAGAGATGGTCCCCGCCATATGCCCGCAATCACTAAGCATTCCATATATAGAGAAGAATAAGAGAAACAAACGAAACATTTGTATACGGTCTTTATAGTGCTTCGGATCTTACGATTATATAAGTACACGAGCATTGTGCATTGTCAAGTCTTCGAAATTTTGGGAATTTGTTTCAGAAATTGTATGAAATTTCGATATCAAGTATAACGACCTATCGGCTGATCCTTCGCTAGCATAAATCTTTAGCACTTTTACCTGTAGATTAATAGCAATGCAGCTAAATTGTATTCGTAAGTAAAGGACTTTGGGTTGATGTATTCATGGATTTATTCATATTTGTACTTACCTATCTTTGCACGTTATTAGCTGCACGCAGGACCAGGCAACAGCAACCACTAAAAAAAAAAAAGAAATGTATAAATATTTTCATTGATATTTTATAGACTTTCAAAGTATTATACCTTTTTAAGCACACGTATACATATAAATATACAAATGGAAAGAGAGAGGAAGAAATATATTATTTATGCAGACGTAATTGCATTTTCATCGCAAAGAACGGGAAAGCGAACAATAAACGCTGCAATTTTCACAGACGCGCCGAAGAATATTAAATTACTCATAATTATTCCTACACACGCGACCTTCCCTTATAATTATGCCCTAGGCGTAATGGAGGAATATATTGAATCTTTCACAGGATTATGTGCGATTGTAATTCCCAGCCTTCTATCTTGCAAAATTCTTAGGGAGAAATACTTCTTTTTTATATTTTATTCGAGGATTATTTAATCATAAAACACAACAACTAAGAAGACCGGGATAGACGGCGAAAGGCGTTGATGGATGAACTGACTGATCAATAAAAAAATGTACAGAAATGTATTTTCCTTTTTTTCGCTACTGATCATAATCGCAATTCTAACGAAATTACCAGTGTAATATAATTATTTGAGAAACATTTCATTTATTGCCTCTTTGTCGTTGAGACTCGCCTCTCGCGGATAGATTTTTACAGTATTTTAATATTTTAATTATGGTAAACTGTCAGTGGCTGTAGTAAAGGATATAAGCTGTACAATAATTTGACACATATTGCCTGTCACTCATCATACCACGTAGGCGCATAGACGAACTGTATTAACACAGATTCCAAAAACTTAATAGCTAACGAAATGTTACCATTGTATGTGCGTACGTGATGACTAGTTGGTTAAATTATTCAAAGTGAAAGAGCATCGACCACACATAACATAAATATTAAGGTTGATAGATAACAACAACAATATAATTAAATTACTTACTACTTTGCAACTATACATATGCATATAAAGAGCTGCAGTAGGTAACCGTAATTGCAATTTTGCCTTTACCGGATGCTGCAATTTGTGAAATTTTACATATCTCCGCACGAACACGCAAACCTTTACTCGTCATAGACAAGTTCAGTAATTATGCATATGTTGATGATGAGATACTTTGCTGTACATATACTGTATGTTTGTTTTACAAAATCATGTAAAATATCACTAAAATAATGTTGGTCTTAATGGTTGGTATAACTTTGACACAATAATAACAACAACAATAACATAAGGTTATAAATATATGTGAAATTATTAGATGCAATTTTCATGATTTCGTGTAATGGAGTTTATAACGTTTGCAGGCCAGCATAACCGCCTGTGGAACGATATATATGCGTACACATACGCATACATTTTATTATTAAGCTCTTGATCTCAACATTATATTTTGTTCGACGAGATTTATGATATTCTGAGCCTTCCTTCACTAAATCAAAATCCCTTGCTTTCATTACAATTCCAATTTACACCAAGCAATGCAGAATTGAGCTTAATATTTTTTAGACTAACTAACATAAGCTGATTGTAGAAGATTATTGAATTTTGTGGAATGAATAACAATCATGTGTACTTTCTTCTTGCAAATCCACACGCGTGATAAATATTCTACGTTCATCTTGTGCGGCCGTCAAGATGCAATGTGTAAAAGCTACTTATATATGTCGGCTAATTGCTCAGAAATCCTTTAAAGTGCAATATGAGACTAGGATTAAAACAAAGAACAAGAGAGACAAAAGAAATAATGGCTTCGTATACGTATTTTTCGTGAATTAAATATGAGTTCACTATTAAACGACAGACGCACAGATAACAAGTACAAGTCGCGGTGGTCCGCGAAGAAAGCCGGGGGAATGCCTTCCAGCGCGCTCTTCTTATTCATTGAAGAGAGAATTAGGCTCCATTGATATGATCTGTGGTTAAGTATTCTAAGGAACGCGTTTGCCTCGCAATTATTGTTGGCATCGTAGTCTTGAACGAATGCAAGCTCTATCCACAATACGGATACATATTTTGATAATTGAATTGATCAATGGGTTGAAAATAATATTTAACGACTTGAGGTATAGCAGTCTCTACTGATGGCTTCATGATGTTTTGTTAAGAATTATCGAAAAAAACTGTACTCACAATTAAAAGGTTGCAAATACCTTGGCTGACCTAGTCAGAAACCTGATATTTCCAAAACGAATAACCTTGTATATTTTTGCAAGGATGACAAGGATTAAATGGGAACGTGGGCATAATTGAGGAGAAAGTGAAACAAACTTGAATAAAAAATAACCGAGAAGTCAGAAAATGTTTGATCAAACTATCACAAAGCTTTCCAACATTTGCTAAAGGATAAGGAAGAGATCGGTGAACTAATATTTATTTTTTTGCTATATGATGTAAATGGAGTGCAATGCCTTAGCTATACTTAACTCAGCATCATTTCTGCCTATGGAACTTAATTATGTAACATAATCACTAAAATATCCCACTCCTTGCCGGCAACTAATTTCATAGGTTGCTAAGTTACCTTTTTCTCTCGAACTCTGGATCTCTTCGAGAGGCCACTGTCATCATTGCAAAAGCACTAGTTCTGCAGTCAACATTTAATTAGTGTTTTTTTTCTCTCTTAACTGCATTGCAAACGAGAAGTTAAATCTAATATACCACACTACTCGTTCATGGGCATGAGGAAACTGTTCCAAATAGGTAACTAAGGTGAGTACAACAATCGAAAATCGATTCTAGAAATTGTTCGAGTATTGAACGTATTTGCAGCAACATTTATGAAATAAATATTTCGAATTAGCTCTAAATCATTGTTATTTATGCTGAGATATGTTCACTAAAATGTTGTTGTACTTTTTCATAAATCTGTCGCGAGAACTTTAAAATGTATAAAAATGAACACAAAATCCCGTAGTAAGGAAAATATAACGCACGTAAGTGTGTTTTTGTTTTACAAGCGAAAGCCTAGCAAATCCGTTAAGAAATTGTGAAGTGAAACACGTTAAGCGGGACCTTAAATTTACGACTTCCAGTATTTTCGATAATTTCGTCTTACGTATATCTATATATATTTCTAAATAAAAGCAAAATTTATGTTTATGTCCTGCATCGGAAACTTAGTTAAAACTCTTAAAATTAAACGTAGCTCAGGCATAAATGCAAAAAAAAAAAAAAAAAAAAACAAAAAAAAAAGAAAAAAGTTTACTTTAAATTGAATGGTTAGCAAAAGTTTTTAGGGTTGTTTTGTGAATGTGGCCCGATGATGTCTACATAAATGTATTGGTATAAGTAACATGATTATCACTTTGAAAAATTTCAAAAATGTTCAACAAAAGCTTATAAAAGACAAAAGAACAGGAACTTTACCATAATTGTAATAAATTATGAACAATAGTAGTCGAGCTGGAATATTCTGCAAAACAGATGAATTATGTGCATTTGGGCGTAAAGAAGCTAAACTAAACACGTAGAGATACAAGCTTACCCCCCCCTCCCACATATGCATACATACATAAGCGCACACAAGTTGATATAAACATAGTTAAATGATAAATGCGACAAAACTATAAAATTCATCTTATGTGTACGTGTTTCTCTCCACATCCGTCTATATATATATATATATATATATATATATATATATATATATATATATATATATGTATATATATGTATATATAGAATGCAAGTGTGCACGAATGTTACAGCAGCGGCATAACTTGATCATAATGATGATGACGATGATAATATTGCAGTTGACAGCTGCTGGTGTTTTATTGTCATGATAGTACATTTTTACAATTTTCAAATTATTGGCACATGTGAGCTTCACATACATACGTACATACATAGGTATATACATAGGAGTATCTCCACAGCGACAATTGCATGCACACAGAAGTCAATGCCACCTTCACTCATACTCATGCGTAGACATTTTTTCCAAAACAGGAAGGAATCTCTTTTTTTTTAAACTAAAGTGCTCTATTTCTATAGCTCTAAGCAGACACCTACCTACCTATCTTTGAATGAATAGAGGAATAGAAAAGCATAGAAGCTATGTTGTGCGTATTATTGTCATATCAAAAAGTTAGCTACAAGCGTACGTACGTATGTATATGCTTGGTTTGTATTCACTGTATTGCGAGCACATGACTTTATTATGTTATCCAATGAGAGGTATTTTAAATTATATTTAACACAAACGCTCAGCAGGTAACATGCGAAGCATATTAGAATTCGGTCTGGCCGGCAGAACTAGATCTTTACAAATGATGGAAAAACATTTGTGCTTAGCTTTATACGTTGCTACTTAGGCCTCAAATTACTAGTACTGAAAATGCCGCTGCCAGTGAAAATAGGCAGCCGATGATCTTATAAACTGCGATGTGCACGTTTCTCACCTGCGATTTATCTAACTGATATTAAAAGTTCTTAAAGTTGAGCGTATATATGCACATAGCAATAGCCGCTCTTTCTCTTTATAAGATACAAAAAATGAATTTATCAAATCTGCAGGCAGCAGGAGCATTGCGGGAGAGAGAATCTTCATCGCATCGACTCACTACTTTTGCTTGCAAACACTCTTGAAATCCTGATGGAACTGTGAGTACTAAGAAAACCGATAGAGCCTCTACTCCTACTATTACACCTCACATAGATGTGAATTAAGTTGTTGCTGAACTTGGATAATCACGTCACCTTTAACTTGACCTTTCAACAAAATTTTCACTATGGAAATCTTCTATGCGAATGCGAAAAATAACAAAGTTTCTGCTCATAAATGCATAGGATAACATAATTTATAATTGGCGCAGAGTCGGATCGGGTCTTCTTCAATCGATTTTGATCCCAAGTGGAAGAGTTTAGAGAAAATTGAATTCTTGATAATAATGGAAGGAAAAGATTATGTGAGCCTCGATCTTCTGACAACAGTTGCCAGTTTGAAAATGAAGAAAACTTTCGTGCTTTTCCCCTCGAAGCAAGGACAGTAAAGTTTCTCGAAAACTTGGAATTGGAATAGACGGTCCG